CCCCAAAACCCCAAAACCCCAAAACCCCAAAACCCCAAAACCCCAAAACCCCTTTTATAACAAACTAGATTGAAAGTTTCCGTTAAGTGAAAATAATTTTAATAATGTATAAAATTTATTTTTGCTAACTATAAATGAAGTTAAAAGGTACGCTTGTGGTTCCGATATTGTATTAGTTCAATTAAATAATATTGGGAAGAAATTGCTTCAATGTTGAATCAACAGCTTCTCTTCGTATTCATAAGCAAATTTTTATTAATATCTTAGAGTCAGTTTTACCAGTACAACTAATATTACTCAAATCTATTAGTTTCAATAATTCTAGCTGTTAATTTTTCTAGAAAATTTATTGTGTTGTAGGATATCCAAGTCCAAAGTTTGAAAGAATTAAGCCAAAGGACTCATTCGTGCAGTTAAAAGAAGCCTGATCAACTCAAGAATCGTGCAGTAATGAAAGGAACAACATTGAAGAGGTCACTGATGCTGATGCTATCCAGACTGACAAACTGATGAGGACTGTTGGTTTAGGAGCCCTGCTCAGACCAATAAGACCTAAGCATCGCAGGAACGATACTGAAATCTCTGATTTAATCCAATTCGAGGATATTGATGAGGACATTGCAGAAGAAGGCATGATTACTAAGAACGTTAATTCTCACAGCAGTCGGATTATTAAAAAGTCTCCTCTCCCAACGATAGTAGACACCCAGTATGGGGAGATCTTAAAAGTAAGGAAATAAGGGAAGAGATAAAAGTATTGACTGGTTCACCAGTAACTTCAATATCTATGCAACACAGTCTAAGGACAAATTTATCTCCTCCTTTGTGAAGGAAGAAGATAATTATGATGACTTGGACGATCGCATGCCAACTGAGCATAATGATGGTGGGATTAATATGAAACTTCATCCTCACTGATTGACTGGAGCTAAAGGTATTGAGACCTCCTTTTAATTTTGATAACTTTGACTGCTCATTTGAGTTCAAAGATGATGAAACAGATGATTTTGAAGACCTTTTAGCAGTTGAAAATCTGCATATTCCTGAAAAGCATTTCAGAGAAAGCGATAAGCTTGAATTGACGAGTCAGCTATCTGACCAATCTGAGGAAGTTCACAAACTTGCTCTATATACTGAGGAAGATGAAAATCAACCTCAAAATATTGATAACGAAGTTAGGGATGGGCTAAAATCTAGGAAACCCTTGTTGAATTTTGATAAAAATAAAGTTGCAACAGAGGACAAAGTTTTCCAGGATTTTGAGACTGTTCTCCAAGGCAGCCCTCCCAAAATAACTCCTTTAAATGAAGTTACAAATACTGATTTTAATGAGATGGACGAGGAAATTTTACTCACCCAAGAGTCTAATGAGTATGAGGTTGAAGAGTGAAATATCTTTGATCAAGGAAATAACGACCATAAAGTTTACCAATGATTACTTAGGAAAGGGACATTGCTCAGGAAACAAAAGTTAAACAAGAAAAGATCAATAGGGTCTAGTAGGAGTTCGATAAAGAGCGCTTACTCTTCACTATCTTCGATCAACTCTACATGCACTAGTTCTTTGTCTAAAGGCAAAGCGAGGACTTCTACTCTCTTAAAAAATAAAGTTAAAGAAATGCAGAATAAGATCAGCGACAAGAAGACTCACCTGAGAAATAAAAGTCGGAATCCTGAAGGCACTTTAACTAAACAGAAGAGTGATAAGAAAGCCCTAGAGTGTATCCCAGAGTATAATAAAAAGTAAAGACTATCCATCCTTAAAATTAATTTCAACATCCAACATACCTATTCCTTAATCATCCCAATAAACCTTCCCAATCCCAACAAGTCTCTATCAATCCGTTCTTCCTTCAAATTCTCACTTTTCACAAAAAACTACTTCAATACACCCAGCCTGATCCTAAAATCCTAAAACTAATTGTCTGTCTCACTCCTCACTCCTCACTCAACACACAAATCCTGAAGTCCATACAGTACAAATCCCTTTGCCTTGTTCTCCTTAAGCCTCCCTATTATTCTACCTAAAATTTTATAAGAGTCTCAAAGTTGGTAATGATTTAGGGGTTTTGGGGTTTTGGGGTTTTGGGGTTTTGGGG